GGGAGCGGAGGCCGGGGAGCTGCAGACGTGCCCCCAACCTTGCACACAAAGCGGCTGCCGCGCTCGGCTCTCACCAGATCCTTTGTGTTTTCCATCAGGGCCTCATGGGTAGGGGTTGTCCGTGCTCCCCGGGCCCGCGGCGCCCCCTCCCCGCGCTGGGGGCAGGCGCCTGTACCCGGGACGGCAGCGACTACAGGGACCCCCGGCTGGGCCCAGACCGGTGGCGGCGGCGGCAGCCCCCGGATTTCCCCCCCTTTAACTCGGGTGGCCCCAGGATATCAACAACATTAGCATAGCCCTCCCTCCCCAGCGCGCCTGCGCCGTGACCCGCGCCCCGATTGGCCCACTTCCCTACTTACCCTCCTTTCCTTCTTCCAGCGTGGGACCCTCTGCAGGCTCCGTAAGCTAAGGGCCGTACCAAGACGAAGGGGGGAGCAAGGAAGTCGGGGCTGCGGCTCAGCCAAGGGCTTCAGTCCAGAGGATGGAGGAAAAGTTTCATTCAACCACCCCGGTTCAGACTCTGGCTTTCTCGTACTCCTTCTGGTGTGCTGCAGTTGCCAAGCTGTGTGGGAAAATTCTTCCACTCCAGTCACGCCGCTTCCCCCTACACCCGGAAGGTTGGCCCTCCCAGAGGAACTCCCACGGGGGGAGGGGCACGCGAGGGGGCGTGGGCGTTACGTAGGGAAACGAGTGTTGGGTCACGTGCTAACAAGTTGCGCAGGCTCCTTACGGCACTTCCCCCTCCCCCCCGCCGGGCCTCAGCAGCGGGCCGGAAGGCGTCCCGGCGCACGCGCAGTGAGGGTCCACGTGAGCGCCTGCGTTTCTCCTCAAACCGAGCGATGCCGCCGGAGCGGAGAAGCCGGAAGAAACCGGACCGGAGCACCAGAGCGAAGCCACACCGGAAGGGTCCAATGAGGGCAGACCGGAGGACCGGAGCGAGGCCGGGCGGACCGGCCCCAAAGGCTGCCCCTTCATCGCAGCGGAAACCGCCTGCCCGGCCGAGCGCGGCGACCTCTGCAGTCGCGGTCGCGGTGGAGGAGGAGAGGCGACTTCGGCAGCGGCACCGGGTGGCGCTGGAGGAGGACAAGCCGGCGGCGGAACTGTGCCTGGAGGAGCTGGTCTTCGGCGACGTCGAAGACGACGAGGACGCGCTGCTGCGGCGGCTTCGGGGCCCGCGGGTGAGGGAGGCCGCGGCGCGCGGGCGGGGCGCGCGGAGGACGGCGGAGCTCCGGGGGCGGAGCCTGGGCGACCTGCGGCGGCGGGGGGCGCCCAGGTGGGCGGGTGCCCGAGAAAGCAGGAGCCGAGGGGCGCCCGTGCGCGTACCCCGCCTGCGGGCCCCGAGCCGAGTCTCCGCCACCGGCCGAGACCGCGCCTCTCTCCGCCTCTGTGGGAGCCGCTGCGCGGGTGCCCAGCGGGCGCTCAGCACGTGTCTGACAGCGGCGAGTGGCTTCCAGGGAGCCCTTGGTGAAAGCGTTGGACTGCTTCCCCCAAAAGGTGTGCAGTTCGAACCCACCGGCCGGTCCTGGGGAGAGAGGTTGGCAGCCTGCGTCCGTAAAGATTTGCATCCTTGGGAACCCTATAGGGGCTGACTTGCTTTGCCCATTTGAACCAGAATCGACTCCACGGAAATGCGTTTTGGGCTTTGCACAGTGAGCTGCTTTCTTGTTTTACTTGAATTTTCCTTTCTCATTGTTGTAGATGATCATGGGTCATAGTCGCCTTGTTCTAAACGATTGCGGAGTTCCTTTGTGGAACCCGAATTTCTGGGCTCAAACCTGGCCATCTGTATTTCAGCAACCTTCCTAGATGTTGTTTGGGCTCATCCTCCTCTGAGAAGCTCCGAGGATTTGCTTATTTAACAAAAAATATGAGCCTGTTTGTGGGTCCAGAAACACTCTGGCGTTTGCAGTGCTGCAGGGTTATAAATTATTACACTTCGCATCATTCGGGCTGTTCTGTATGAGGCTTTTGTCCCCAGTCATTGTTTTAAACACTAGAAGACACATAGCATTCCTGTTGTCCTTATGTGTTACATACAGACAGAGACACAAGAGATAAGTGTGTTAGTGATGGAGGAGACTTTAGAAAATAAAGAATTTAAGGAAGGGTGAGAGTGCAGCCTAGGAGGCTGGGGAAGCTAGCTGTAAGTAATTAAGTGTGACCAATGGAAGTCTCATTGAGAAATGGCTCTTCTGTTAATGGATGCTTATCCATCAAGTATCCAATACTAACTGTTCTGCTGCTGTCTGGTTGGGAGATGACCGACAGTGTTATTAGTCGGGGGGGAAAAGAACAGCTTAAATTGTTAAAATTCCTGTTTAAAAAGAAGGAAAAAGCAGCATGTAGCAGCATGGACTCAGGAATCATGGCCACAGTAAAGTGATTTGGGGAAAGTTCAGGCTCACTTTGGGGGGATATTCTGTGATCTGGATTTAGAGGTGGTAGTACAAAGTTTCTTGAGGGTACAGAGAAGCAGAGAAGAGGTCTTTCTAAGAATGTGAGGTAGGGCTTCATGCTGACAACGATTTTTAGTGGTGGTCTCTGGTCCTAGACTGTGTAATTCTGGAGTTTTACTACCTTTTTGCCAGCTGTGCCAACTTAGCCTTTTGTCGCTTCAGTCTTGATTTTTCAGTACATTGGCTTTTTCTCCTTGACTGACTTCTAGCTTTGACTAGATCTAATGTGGTGCTATTTCCTGGCTGCCTCACTGCGGTAGCATTCCATCCCATCCTTTCACCAGAAGGCTTCAGGCTTTACAAAGTAGCGTGCCTGCACGCTGTTTCACTACAAGGGATTTGTGTGTCTCCCGTGGTGGGAAATGAGAAACTCAGCGCCTGAGGATGTTTTGTCATCTGTAGATTCAAGTACCGGAGGATGCTGGTGACCCGGAAGTGCAGAATGAAGCAAAAGATCATTTCCCTCCTCAAAAGAAGCCAGTTTGGGTGGATGAAGAAGATGAAGATGAGGAAATGTAAGTTGTCTGTCTATTCCAGAATATCTCTGAATGCCAGAGAAGTTATTTTTTAGGTTTTAAAATTCTCTTTGAGAGGAATATTAATGTAAAGAAAATGTTAATAGTGAAAAATATAAGAAAATTCTCATCACCAACATGTTGACATTCTTCCATCCCCACTTTTTCTGTGCTGTTTATGGTGGTTGATTGCATGGAGGTTAGATCAGACCTGAGTTTGCCTCCTGACTTGGTTAAATTCTCACTGTATGACCTGGAGCAAGGTTGGAACCTACAGTTTCCCATTTGTAAAGCAGGGCTAATAATAGTTAGTCACTGTGTAGTGACTGAGTGGGAATGATCTTGGTGAAGGTGAGTTTAGTTCAGACTATGAGGGTTAAATGTAATAGTGTATATGAACTTGGAGTTGGTTGTGTATCAGGCTATATAGACGTAGTAGCACAGTGCTTGAGAGTGAGTGAAGACTTAGAGTTAACTAGCATACAGAGTGTATACTTAGGTGAGAATGTACCCTATATGTAACATTTTTACTTCATCTTAATGATAAATTCTAAGTATTTCTCCCTGTATCAAATAACCACCCCCATCCCGTTTTAAGAGAAACTTTGGTGAACATTTTTAAAGGATATATTGTAGCCCTTGTTATTAATTAACCATAACTTACATACTGTTGTTTTGGACAGATGAGTTTTTTTTCTTTTTAATAAGCAAAGTAAAAATCTTTGCTTTTATTCCCCTTCTTAATTACTTCCTTAAAGATTCTTTGAGGTAGAATTCCTTAATCACAGACTATCTGATTAGTTACTTGGTCAAAAGATACTAAAAAGACTCTTGATGAATATGGCAGATAGCCTACCAAGAAGTATTTACCTTCCCATTGAAAGGTGTCTCACTATTCTCATAATCAGTGATTTCTCATTTTCTGAGTTAAGCAGTTTGATGGGTGGGAGATATTATCTCTACTTAATTTGTGCAGAGAAGATTTTTTTTTATCATTAGTTAGAGGTGGTCTAGTGGGTACATGTTGGGCTGTGAAGATCATAAGATCAGCAGTTGGAAACCACCAGTAGCTCCTCAGGAGAAAGGTGGGGATTTCTCCTCCTAGAAGGAGGTGGTCTCAGAAAACCATAGGGACAGTTCTGCACTGCCCTATAGGGGCTCTGAGTTGACATTGACTCGGTGGCAGCGAGTTTATTTTTCAGTATATATTTATTTATTTTTTAATTTTATTTTTTGTTTAGTATTTCTTAAAGGGATGTTTTGATTATTTGTCTATGGGAGGTTTTCTTAACATATATACTCGAGTATAAGCATACCTGCATCTCAGCCGAGGCACTTAATTTTAGCACAAAAGCTGCATTAAAAATGTGCTGAAAAACTCAGCTTATACACGAGTATATATGATATTTATCTTGATGTATCAGCATTTTATGTACTGAGAAATACAAACTTGTATGTAATAGGTTTAGTTTTTCTTCCAGCTTTCACATTTGTTTATAATGTTTTTTTAACCACTCAGGTTATAAATTCTTATATGATCAAATCGGTTGATATTTTTTCCGTTCCATTATTTTTACTGTTCTTTTTTAACCATAAGAACTCCCATCAGGAAGAGACAAATATTTGTCTATATATTTTAAAGTATGTGAAAATTTGGCTTTTATACATTTAAATTTTTTATTTACTAGAGATTGACTTTGGTTAGTGGTGTAAGATGCGACTAGATAAGTCATTATGAATTTAAAGTATTACCTATCCCATGAGTAAAGCGGATCTAAAGTACTGGGAAATTTTTGGAGGTAGAAAGAAGAGTGACACACCATATGTACATGAAATGTTTCTCATCTTTTAAATCTTGACATGTATTGTTGAATTAGATGTCTTCTCAAAATATTGATGGCAGCAGCTATTTATATTGACTTCCTATAAGTTATTTACATCATGCTGTTTTGTTTCTTTTTGTATAGGGTTGACATGAAGAACAATAGGTTTCGGAAAGATATGATGAAAAATGCCAGTGAAAGTAAACTTTCAAAAGACCAGCTTCAGAAGAGACTGAAAGAAGAGTAAGTGCATGTCTGCATGCAATTAGCCATTAGCCATGATGGATTTCTGACCAAAGGCACTCTAGTGGCCTTGTGGCTGGGCAGGCAGTGTACACGGAAAGGCTGGTGATTCAGTCCCACCAGTAGTAGCGCTGTAGAGATTATACCCTGCAAAACCCTGTGGGTCAGTTCTCTGTGTTTAAGTAGCTGTTAGTTGGAACTGACGTGGATTAAAACAAGTGTTTATAGCCAGTAGTTCAATTTGGCTTGCGAAGTCTTTGGCTTACCAGCCTGGAAAGTCAGGTTTCTATTTTGAAACGAAGCATAAATATCGGAGAAAATGACTAACTTTCAGTGTTTTGTGAGGGAAGTGGGAATGTGGAGCAAGCACAAAGAAATTTGGGAAAATTAACCTGTCACCAAATAGTCATGTGCCACAGAATATCTGATCCCTTATATGCCCATACAGCTGTTAATAGAACGCAGAAACCCTGCTCAGATAGGGACATATGAATGCAACAGATTTGTGCAAAATGTGTGCAGCTTATGTCTGTGGTGCTGCCGGGAGCATAATGATGGCAGTACATGTATAACCTGTAATACAAAGTCTTGGCAGTCATAATAAATGTGTGTCACTGGTTGATGTGTAGTACTTTCTGTCTAAAAGGTTTACTAAATGTTAGTGTATGCTTCAGCTTAAAAGTAGCAGCAGCTGATCTTGAGCATTACAGCATTGTCTGCATTTGTTAGGTCCATCATGATTCCCCAACGCCGTAGAATCAGTGCTAGTGAAAACATCAGCAGGAAGCAAAGAAGTGTCCGTTTGGAAGTGAACAAAGCTGATTAAATAGCACAAAGGTTGAAAATCAGTGAATACTATTACTTGTGATTTGGGCATGTCGCAATCATGATTCACAAAAACAGAACAAATTCGCCAAGCTTTTCAAAGATTGGGTTCACTGAAAGTCACATGGGTGACAACAATGAGACAGAGACTTAACAGATATGGAGAAATTCCTAAGATGTGGACTAAGGATCAAATGTAAAAGTGGATCCCTCTCAACAGTTTGACAATCGCTGTGAATGCATGAGATGCTTAAAGAAAAGGCCAGGACCAGGCTGCAGTAATGTCCAAAGGACCAGGCACACTATTTCACAGGTGCATTGTGGATGTTACAGCAGCATAACAATAGTGTTCATCACTTACGATAAAGAATATTTTCCTTCTCCTTTAATATTTTCATACCTGAGAACACATCTAATTAGCTATTCTGGATTTCTCCAAGGTTCAAGTATTATATTTAGATAAGGTGACATTTTGTCTATTTTACCATTATGCTGATTTTTGTTCAGATTTGCTCTAGTACGTCTTCTGTGTGATATGGCTTTGGTTTAACCATAATGGAACTTCGTCACTCAGTTCCCCAGATCTAGGATGAGTTGATAGGAGCAATTAATCAAGGACTACTTGAGATGGTCAGAGGTTCATGAAAGCTTCCAATTTAGGAACATTGGGACTGTTCTCTGTGCATTTTCTCTCTGTTCTTATAATGATGAATATACATTGAAGACTATCTAGGGCAGTGGTTCTCAACCTGTGGGTCTCCACCCCTTTGGGGGATGGGGTTGCCCGATTCATAACAGCAAAATTACAGTTATGAAGTGGCAATGAAAATAATTTTATGGTTAGGGGGTCGCCACAACATGAACCTGTATTAAAGGGTTGTGGTATTAGGAAGGTTGAGAACCCCTGATGGGGGTTGGGGGGGTGGTGGAGGAGAGGAGCTGATACCAAGGGCTTAAGTAGAAAGAAAATGTTTTGGAAATGGTGATGGCACCATATATGCAATTGTGCTCGATACAATTGGTATGTGGATTGTTATAAGAGCTATAAGGGCCCCCAATAAAATGATTTATTAAATTTAAAGGGAAAAAAAAAGACCAACTTTTTCCACTCTTGACCAATTGTAGTCTGAGGTATTTGCCACATGGGCAAGCCTTGCCAGAAACACCTGAAGATTCGTTGCACGTTGGATTTTGAATTAATTTTTGGTCCTTGTGCATTCAGAAACCTTTCAGTGTTCCCAAGTTATTTGAGACCCCTCCACATACAGTTACAGTACCCCATTTGAGGTCATGACCCACAGTAAAAGAAACTGGTCTAATTTATTACCCTTTAAATGTGCTACAAAATTTGTTTTTGTGCTTTTACATAGATTTCAGCATGCCATGGGGGGAGTACCTGCCTGGGCCGAGACTAATAGGCGGAAAACATCTTCAGATGGTGAGACAATAAATCAATCCCTACTCCTGCTCTGCCTGTATTTGAGCTTTCTTATGAGGCTCATCAAAGCCTGGTTTTTCGTTCTCTGATGAGAAGCCTGGTGACATAGTGGGTACACACTGAGCTGCCTGACGAAAGTGGTGGTTTCCCCCACAGTTCATGGGTAGTTCTGGGGAGAAAGATAGGCAGTCTGCTCCTTTAACGATTGGGGGTGCTAGGAACTATTGAGTTGATTTAGACTCATAGTGACTGACCCTGTGTGACAAAGTAGAACTAGTCCATAGGGTTTGAGTCTAGTATTTATGAGAACAGATCACTCGATCTTTCTCCTGCAGAGTTACTGGGTAGATTTGAATCACTAACCTTTCCGTTGGCGGCTCTGTGCCACCAGAGTCCCTTTGGTAAAGATCACTGCCTTGCGATTCCTCACGGGGCAGTACTGTTCTGTCCTATGGGAGTTGCTGTGAGTTGTTGACTCGATGGAACCAGTTAAATGGCGAGTTCACTACATTCTGAATCTTGTCTTTGGGCATACAAAGTTTAATATTTTAAAGCTTAAGTCTGGTAAACTCCATTTTCTGGACCTTTGGTAAAGAGCAACTGTTGTTTCATTGGGTTTTTAGGTAAGTTAGCTTATCTTATTGGTGCTTTGCTATTTTTCATTGGGTATTAGATAGGCCTTTTATATGAAAAGCTATTTATTGACTCACTGTCTCTCTCACTCTCACTCACTGTCTCACTCACTCACTCACTC